TGCCATAACAAAGGAATGAACAGACAACCGCTTCCCGCAGAGAGAAAGAAAAAATATATATAAAAGAGAGCATCATTCTCAAGTTGAGTTCTATATTTCTGTTGGATCAATCGAGCAAAGGTACAGATGTTGTGGCCAACGTCCGTGGCGTGATGATTGCGCATTCATGAAATTTAAAACTGTTATATGAGTGGCATTAGATATCGAGGCATTTAGATATCGAGTAACATAGATTTCAAACGGACTCGGCTTTTCGTCGTGGTGTTAAATATCCATGTGTTTTTGAAGGCGATTAAAAAACATATAAACCTTGAGCTTTGAAATTGTTTCGTTTCACATACTGTTGGCTCAACAAATTTGCATTTGAAGCTGTGAAACATTGGTGCAATTAAAAATCGGCCCATTTCAAAGATCACTTTAATCTAGCCTTAAGAAATAGAATAAGGCGCGCCAGTTAAATCGTCCTTTTATGACAAACAGTTCTGCTATACTAGTGAGTCAATCAATCGAATTCGACCACCGACAGTCATGATTTCGGCTGTGAAAAAAATAAATACAACTTAAAAAACCATTTACTGCACAACTTAAAAAGATAAAAAATTTGAGGACGAGAAAATTCGCTTTAAAAGAAACGTTTTCTTTTTATTTGACAAGCTTACAAGGTCGTCAAGAAATGCCTGTTCGCATCTTTTGTCCATCAGGGATGATGATCAAGAAAAAAAGATGTGAACAGACATGCTGATATTCCCTGCTTCATTTTGTAATACCTGATCCCCTCTTAAAAAAACAGTTGTGAAAAAGAATTTTTCAAAATTAGAAAAACAGCTGTGAAAAATAATTTTTCAAAATTCTGCTTCCAAATAAGAAGCACTCCGACACATTTCTTCAATTTTAGCAATTTGATATAACATTTGAACAAGCGCCATACACTCCGTTTTTTAAATCATCTGACTTAATTTAAGTCCTGGCGTTTCAAATGTTCAAGTCAAAAACAGAAAATGAATCGAGCTCGGTTTTTTTCCGTAGCAAAGAATGAAGTTATAATGCAACGCATAACGGAGAACTTCTGCAACTAAACCACGATAAAACACATATCATGGTACAAAGCCGACGTAGTTTTCTATTCATTCGGCTACATTTGTGGAGAACGGAGTTTTAAGGTAATGAGCGCTTATAGAAATACCCCGCAAGTCTTCTCTATGGTGGCTACGCTAATTCTAACCAGAATCCCTGCAGCTTTATGCAAGTCAAGACAAGAACACTGCGAGAGAAGAATGTTTCGTACATCTCTTACGGGTAGAAAAT